AGAATGGCTTATCGAAGAATTCATGCCTTTGAACTGTAATGCTGGCATAAATTATTACGTATACCACCTACAGCCAGAGTAACAGGGAGGGGCTGAATCATATAAAATCAGACATAACACTAGAAGCTAAAATCATAACACTATGTCTAATTTACTTTGGCCATGTCATGAATGCAACTTCATTGGAGAAGGCAATGATGCTAGGAATGGCTAGTGGAACAAGAAGGACAAGCAACCAAGCATGCTGGCTTGATAACATCAAATCTGACACAAAGTTGAACATCCAACAATTGAAAGAAGCAGGGCTTTGACAGGGTAGCATGGAAAGCATTTGCCTATAAAGTCGCAAAGAGTCGGACACGCCTATATATTTCAACCAATCAACCAACGAGTATACGAAATTTGTTCAATTTCAATAACTGCCTATCCTACCTGCAGCCAACAATCAAATCAGTTGAGACCAAGTACAACATTACAGGACTTGTCATTCGTTCTCAGCCCAAACTACATCGTGTGATTGTTATTGGGAAAATAGAAGGAGAAAATGTATTGGAAATGGACATAAACGTGACATCAGCTGAGAAAAAAATAATGCCTGTCAATACAACCAAGAAATACAAAACCAGATTTTCAAGGTCTAGCAAAAGGCCGGCAGGATTGGGGGCATCCTAATCTCGGCAAGGGAGGATGTTCCCCGAGGGCAGAGACCACGGACGGCCCCTCAGACACACACACACAGTCACAGTTAACATGAAGCAGCTATTTCGCTTTTTGCCCGACTGTCCTCATTCATGACTGCACCCCTACTTCTGCCGCCTCCGCCGCTGCTATTCTCACGTTGTCCGTCTACCCTATTCTTATCCGGAGACACGCCCTTCGCGTAGGAATTCACGGAGTAGGGAAACCTAGCGGGGACTGGAAGAAAGTCTCCGCGCTGATCCTTCGGGGCGCCGCCGGGCAGCTGCGAGCAGAGAAGAGCGGCTGCCCGGTCTCCCTTCCTAGCTCCCAGTCAGAGGACGCCGCCGGAAAACAAGGCCCGCTTTGCCCGTCCTTCCTTCATGCCGCCGCCGCCGCCGCCGCAAGCGGCGGTCGTCTTCGAGCGGGAGCTGCCCCGGCGGGACGGCTCCGGGATCCTCCGGCTGACGCAGCGTTCAGCCGGTGGGACGGGCTCGGTGGTGTGGGACGCCGCGCTGGTGCTGGCCCGCTTCCTGGAGAAGAGCGCGGCGCAAACAGGGCAAGGCACGGAGCAAAGCGGCGGAAGCCCGGTGGGCGTTCTCCGCCACAAGGCCGCGCTCGAATTGGGCGCCGGCACCGGCCTCGTCGGCCTCGTGGCCGCCAGCCTCGGGTACGGGAGCGAGGGCAGGCGGGCGTGGGGGCAATCCTGGGCTGCCGGGCCTTCTCTGGGAGTCGCTGCACCGCGTTTGGTCTTCTGCCCTGCCTTGGATGTTCTCTCGGGTCTGGCAGAGACAAGGGCAACGATCCGTGCGGCTCCTATGTGGGAAGCAGCTCCTCTAGACCCCCCCCCCCCGGGCTTCTGATGGAAGCAGAAAGGAGCTCGAGAGCCCTGCTACCATCTCAACACCTTCCTGACCAGAGAGTATTTATCAAGAAAGTTTTTTCTTTATCTCTTTTGGGGATGTACTTACTTATTTATAGTTCAGGTTTCTAAACCACCCATCTCCCCCAAAGAGGAACTTTTAACCCACTTACTACTTACACAAAATGCAAACCCACCCCCACCCCCGGCTGTTGAATAAATCCATCTTGGATAGGCTCACACTAAACCAGAAATAATTGCTTACAAATTGTAATGGCTGTAATCATTCGAAAAGTTAAGCAATAAACAAGTCACACTACACCTTAGCATGTCAAGCAAATAGTTAATCATGCACAACACTGATGATGCAAAATTCCCTCTGTATGCCTGCTCCATTGGAGGAAGAGAGAGAGAGAGAGATTATTTTATCTCTAGGACTATTATAAAGGGTTATTGCAGTTATTTGAAAGTAAGCTAGGCCATATTTCGCATGTGATATTTTCCAGCTTTATCTAATTTATTTGCCAAGAGAACTGGCTCTGTGTTGCCTTAATACATTTAGTTCTGTTCATGATTTGCTTTGGCAGGAATTTCCTGTATATGATTTGCTTTCTTCTTTAAAAATTGACATTGTGGAAGAGAGCCATGCTTGTCTACTGTGGCAAATCATCAGTATGGATTCTGATAGCACCTTTTCCAACTAACATACCTTATTAAAAGGCAGATCATTTTATCAGATGCACACAAATCTAAACCCTATATTAGTCTTAGCCCAATGTTTCTTAACTTTAGCAGCTTGAAGATGTGTGACCTTCAACTCCCAGAATTCCCCAGTAAGCGTAGACAAATTTAAGAAACCCTGGTTCAGTCACTGAAATTAGCTGTAATTCACAAAATGTTATACTATTCAGTGGGTGGATTTTATACTTTCATGCTGTTTTCTCTCTTGCATTGTTTGAATAATAGTGGGGGACCAGGAATACTAACATATTTTCCTTCCACCTTTTTTGTAGAGCAAATGTTACTGTTACTGATCTGGAGGAAGTTCAGGATTTATTAAAAGTGAACATTGAGAATAATGAACATCTTGTGTCAGGTTCTATTCAAGCCAAGGTACTGAAATGGTTTGTATTAATTTTTATTTTATTTACTTTAAGAAATTGAAAACCTATTTTGGTTAATCAGACAGTTACAACAGAGTCGAATTTATTTTATATGTTTAATCATATTTTTAAACCATCTCCCTCACAGAGGGAAGATGACAAGATTAACAAGACAGATTAAATATTTTTAGCGTACCTCAGTCTGCAAAGGATCTTGATAAATTGTTGGAGTGAATTATATATATTTAAAGTTACACTATAAAGTTTGATAGGACTTTGGAAAATTTAAATAAATGATACATCAGATGTGCATCTAACTATACTGCTTTAAGAAACTTGGCTAAAATTCAGGGCCTACATAAAATAACTAATGAATCAAATGTTATTTCTATATTTTTTTATTAGATTGATTAGATTTATATGGCCATTTGCCTCATATAAAGCAATTCTGGGTGACTACTACAATATAAACACTGGAGTTAGGTGGCCAATAAGTTTAAATTATTAATAATGATAAGAATAACATTAGTAAAATAACTAAGTTGAATAGATAAGACACATCAGGAAACAAAGAGAAAATTGACCACTGAAGATAAACCAATCAGTAACAAATACTCCCAATATTGTTTGTGTTACATCATCAACCTTCTGGGCTTTAGTTGCTTATTGTATTTCCCCAGTGGTGTTTTGTTAGATTTGGTAGGAAAGGCCTATTCCAGGTGCTGGGCAAGAGATACCATCCAGCCTCTTCTGCCATGGCACCAACCCTCTGCAACATCCCCTCAGAGTAATTAGGCCCTGAATTTGCTGGTCTTTTTCAGGACATTACAAACTTGGTTTGCCCTCAAGCTTGGGATCATGATAGTGTGGATGATCCTGTTTCTGGGTCATGGTTCTATTAAATGTGGGATGTCATGAGTGGTCTCAGCTGTTATCTTTTCTATATATATATATATATTGCTTATAATTGTGGTTGTTTTATTCTGTTTTTAATTATTAGCCCCCCCCGCCCCCCCCGCGCCAAGATTCATGTCAGATATACAGCCATATCAGTGGTGGGTTTCAAAAATTTTTAGAACCTCTTCTGTAGGTGTGGCCTGCTTTGTGGGTGCGGCTTGCCAGCCATGTGACCGGGTGGGAGTGGCTTGTCAGCCATGTGACCAAGTGAAAGTGGCTTGGCAGTCATGTGACTGGGTGGGCGTGGCCAACTTGTAAAATGTGGTGAAACTCACTTAACAACACTCTTGCTTAGCAACCAAAATGTTGGTTCAGAAACACTGGCATTTGAAGCACACAAGTCTTAAAGCTGTCAAGTTACAAGACCCTTGCACCCCTAACCCTTTAGAAAAAAAAAACCTACTTCTGACCCAACATTTTGGTTGCTAAGCAAGAGTGTTGTTAAGTGAGTTTCACCACATTTTACAAGTTGGCCACGCCCACCCAGTCACATGAATGCCAAGCCTCTCTCACCTGGTCACATGGTGGGCAAGCCACTCCCACAAAGCAGGCCACACCTACAGAAGAGGTTCTGAAAAAATTTGAAACCCACCACTGATACAGTGGTATTAGTACCTGCCTTGATCTTGATTTTATCCCTCTGTTAATGCAACTTCAGATTGTGTTGGCTTGTTTTGGCTGCGGCTGTTGACAGTGAGAAAGCTTGTGTGCAAAAGTTGTAGGTGCTCCATCACTGGAGGCTTTTAGGAAGAGAGTGGACAGCCATTTGCCTGAAGGGACCTCCAAGGCCCCTTCCAACTCTGTCCTTTTGCAATAGTTAGGATTTGTTTTTCACTGGCTGCCCGAGAAATCACTTTCACAACAAGTAGATCAAAGGAATCGGGAAGGGATGCTGTGCGTTATTGAAGATCCTGCCTTGATGTTGGAGATTTGTCCACTTACCCAATGATACATTGTGTGCTTCCATTGCTGCCTGATGTTTCATGGTTATGTTGTAAATGATATCAACATAGCCATTAAGTGCCTTGGCGTAATCTCTGCAGTCAAAGGGGAGAAGGACCGCATCCGCCAGCTCGAAAACCAGCCCGCCTCGCACTTGGGCTACAGCCAAGTGATTCTTGAACGTTGGGTCGTANTCCTGAGCCAACATGACTGGAGGAGGAATTCTGGGAGTTGAAGTCCACAAGTCTTAAAGCTGTCAAGTTACAAGACCCTTGTAATCCTAACTCTTTAGACAAAAAACCCCAGGGGTGTTCAAACTTGACAGCTTTAAGACTTTAAGGTTTAGATAGGACTCTTAGAGGCGGGCGGGACGATTGGTGAGCCAGCCAATCAGTGAGTGGCGGGCGGGGCAAGAGTGGTGCGGACGGGCGGGTGGAGGGAGCTGGAACCGGTTCTAAACGGCACGGTAGATTTGTGGAACCTCTTCTATAGAAGAGGTTAGAACTGGCAGGAACCCGCTCCTGGTTTTTGTGCCAGCAGAAAGGGCTCTTCATGCCACCTGTGGCGTGCGTGCCACAGGTTCGCCATCATGGATATAGGAACTTCATTCACTTTATTTGCAGAATTCACACCCTGCCTTGCAAGATACTATAAAATGACATTCCTCCATAGTTCAGTTCTCGTACTCTTTTGAGTTTTTCCACCCTTCGTGCAGTTTCTATGTTTTGCACATCTTAGGCAAGCTCAGTTACTCCAATTACACATTAAGCGAGAAAAGGGTTTGCTTCTAAAGAGCGGATTAAAGTCGTGACGTTAATTACCACGGAGGAAAATCCTCCTCTTTGCAATTACGTAATTTATTCAGCGGTGCAAACAATTAAAACCGACCGGTTTGGAACGAAATGGAGTCATTGTGGTACCGAGGAACGTAATCCAACTCCTGTGGTTGAATAGGCCACACATTTTGTAGCGCCGAATGGGTTTGGAAGCGCGATTGTGCTGTGAATGATTTATGCGGGTGCCTCCGTACACATAATTAAAGTCATTAAGTGAGTTCGTTTAGCTGGAGATTTAATTGCAGAAAACTAGTTGGTGGAAAGGGTGCCACTTCTCGCTGGCATGTATTTGAAAGTCACGCTATGCCGGCAATTGATGAACCATGGAAGGGAAGGGGAAGGGTAGAAATGAAAAGGAAGAGAAGGACAGGGAGTGAAAGGAAAGGGGAAGGGAAAATGAAAGGAAGGGAAGGGAAAAAGGAAAGGAAAAAGGAAATAAATGCAAATGGGAAAGGAAAGGAAATGGAAACTCAGCATTAAGGCACCTGCTGGGGAAACACCCCATCTTAGCTCGTCATTTGCATTCTTTTAGAGAGTCATTGAGGTGAACTTGACACAACTAAACCGCCAAGTGGCCTTAATGACCCTCTAAAAAGGATGCAAATGACCAGCTGTCTGCAAGGAATATAAATCCTNTTCCCACCAAAAGTGGTTCCTATTTTTCTACTTGCATTTTTTACGTGCTTTCGAACTGCTAGGTTGGCAGAAGCTGGGACAAGTCACGGGAGCTCCCTCCATTCTGCGGCGCTAGGGATTCGAACCGCCAACCTTTCTGATCGACGAGCTCGAATTTAACTCTTTTTTTTCTCTCACAGAGAATCAAATGTAAAAAATGATCCTCTTAAAAGAATGAGAAATCTTCTAGAATAAATTAACTATCCTGAAATTTACATAAAATATTTGAACGGCCCCTCAATGAACCATCGCCGGCCGAGGACCACCTGTATTATAAATCCCGCAATTTCCTAACTTATTTTAAGTTTCTTTTCCTCAACTAGGGGGGGGGGGGAAACCCCCAGCCTTTCCCTCAGCGAGGCCGTTATTTTGATCGCTTCTTCTATCTTTGGCGCAGGTGTTCTCGAAATGATGCAGACCCGAATCAGTGCCCTGCAGAGCACCGTTGACAGGTATGTCAGATCCGTATCCCGTTGTTTGGAAGTTTTTACATTCTTGTGCATCCCGCTGGTCTCTGAAACGTGGCTCCCTTTTTTTTCTTTGCGTTAGGATCAAAGCCAAAATTATCGACCCCTACCACAAAATCGTATCCCGCACGGCGCAGCTAGCAAGGCTCCAGGTAAGTTGTTCTCTCTTCTCTCTCCTTTTTCAGAAATATTCCTCTTTTTTTCCCCCTCCTCCTTTTTTTTTTGCCTTCCAAAGAGTCTTTATCCGACAGCCGCAGAACGATGGCGAGATTTAACAGACGTGGAGGATATTTTTTGGAACAGGGTTTTGCGACTTCCAACATGGGAGTGAATTAATGATGGACAAGAGATAACCAGATTGGTTTTTCTGGAGGGCTCTACAGGGTTGCTATAGTTACTAGTCGAGAAATGGGGGAACACACTCCCAGAATAAATAATTAAAATCATAGCATAAGAATGGTGAACATTTTCCCCCCAAAAATCCTCTCAGAGGGGGAAAAAAAAACCCCAAAAACCCAAGTGCAAGGAATTTTTGCGTGACAAAAGCGCTTATATATATGTGTGTGTGTGTGTGTGTTTGTGCTGATAAATAAATAAAGGGAGACTAGTATAGATCTATTTCAAGCTATTTAGCTCTCATCAGCTAGCCATACNATCTATCTATCTATCTATCTATCTATCTATCTATCTATCTATCATCTATCATCTATCTATCTATCTCTGTCTATCTATCCCTCCCCCACCCTCCACCCTCTCTATCATCTATCTGTCTGTCTGTCTGTCTGCCTGCCTGCCTGCCTGCCTGCCTGCCTACCTACCTACCTACCTACCTACCTACCTCTACCATCTATCCATCACCTATCTATCTCTACTATCTACTACTGATGTTATTACCTATTTGGGTAATGAAATGTCTGCAAGAAAACAACCAAGCTCAGAGGACGCCAAGTACCCCTCATTTCAACCCTGAGCTTCAAATATTCTCCTTTACTGCAGGGAAGTTTATTTTTCCTAGCTCCTAAGGAGTGGATGAGAATCGACAGGTGGAAGCTTTCCAGGAATTAAATTAAAGAGGAATTTACTAGCTGGGAGGATTTTTTTAACGGTAAACAGCCTTTCTCTTGTAGCTATGGAGTCTCCGTCGTTTAAGATGTTTCAAGCAAAGCTTGAGTAGCTGCATGCAGTCCTCGTCTTACAACGGTCTTTCCGTCGGGAAAGGATCTCCAATTTCCTTTGTTAGCTTTAACCCAATACGTAGTGTGGATTTTTCTTCTTCTACTACAGATTTTGTAATGCTCTCGTAAGCTGCTTTAGAAGATTTTTTAGCCTTAAAAGCGGGATAGAAATAATGGCCGTACGCAGAAATGCTGTGTGCCAAGCGGTGTGATTAACACCTGAGTACCACAAATCTTGTTTAAGTTTGGCATTAAGTCAGGAAGGGTTTAGGTTGCTTTGTACCGCTAAATATTCCGAGAAGCTCCATGGACTAAACTAAGATTTAAACAAATGTGTAGGTTTATGCAGATGTGTCAGAAAAAATAACACCCTTTGTGCCCTGAACATAATGACGCAGCTCATCGTTAACTATGAAAATGTTTTAAGATTGTACAGGTAGTCCTGTTAAGTTCGCTTAACAACTTTGATGAGGACAGTCGTAAAATGAGGCAAAACTTGCTGAACCACATAAATTTTGGGCTCAGTTGTGGTCCCGCTCACAATCGCAATTGAGCCCCAGCATGCATGTTGCTGAGGGAGACGGGTCTTAATTGCGTTTCGCCCCGTTTTACTGTCTTCCTTGCTACCGTCGTTAAGTGAAGCCCTGCCATTGTTCAGTGAGTCACATGGTGAGTAAGCGAATGTGGCTTCCCCATTGACTTTTTCCTCAGAAAGGTCGCAAAAGGCGATCCCTGGAAAACGTCCCGACTGTCATAAAGACCGCCAAGCGTTGGAAATGTTGATCATGTGACGGCGGGGAAGGCGGCGACAGTCGTAAGGGTGAAAAAAAGTCACTTTTTTAGGTGCCGTTGTAACTTTAGGTAAGGTAAAGCTTCCCCTCGCAGATATGTGCTAGTCATTCCCGACTCTAGGGGGCGGTGCTCATCTCCGTTTCAAAGCCGAAGAGCCGGCGCTCTTCGAAGACGTCTCCATGGTCATGTGGCCGGTATGACTCAACGCCGAAGGCGTACAAAACCCTGTTCCCTTCCCACCAAAAGTGGTTCCTATTTTTCTACTTGCATTTTT